ACTTTGATCTAATCTTAAACTAAACTGTGCAAAATAGTCTCACTGTCCTTTTATTATTCTGTGCAGGCCAATGAGTGGACAATCTGTTTTTTAATTGTGGCGTTTTTCGTTTGAAGAATGCTGCTGTCCACAAATCATATGGGTTTGCCAACTGTATTGGTATATAAGTATATTGATATAATATAAAGAGGTTTTCTAACAGTAGTGAAACTACAACAACAAAAATTTATTTTATATCATTTAAATTAATTTAATTTTTGGCTAAACAAAAATCATTATTTTAGTAAGATTTTTTATTTTAACTGTATAACATTAACATAACATATAGATAAAATTGAGGGTTCCCTTACAATATCTGAATAATTTTATTTAAATTTTTTTTTATGAAGAGATTTTTCAAACAGTAGTGAACTACAACAACAAAAATTCGTTTTATATTATTTTATTTAATTGAATTTTTGGCTGACCATATAGCTGCTTAAAGTATTGCCAAATACCAATCATCAGTGGTCTTGGAATTACTTCTTGTATTTAATTATTCGCAAATAATTTTTTGTTTGGAATAATAATCAGGAATAATAATAATATTTTATAAATTTATTTATACTAATTTTTCTATACCCTTCTATTTTTAGTTTAACTCATCAACGTGTTGCTTTGAAAGAAATTAGACTGCAAGAGGAAGAAGGTGCACCATTTACGGCGATACGTGAAGCCTCGCTACTGAAAGAACTGAAACACTCAAATATTGTAACCCTACACGATATTGTACATACGAGAGAAACGTTAACATTTGTATTTGAATATGTGGTAAGTTTGTATTATTTAACAAACAAACAAATTATAAATAAAGTAATTAAATTTTATTTTTGTTTTTCTAACAACAGAATACCGATTTATCACAATATATGGAAAAGCATCCCGGTGGTCTGGATCATCGTAATGTACGCTTGTTTCTATTTCAATTATTGCGTGGCCTGTCCTACTGCCATAAACGCCGTGTACTGCATCGAGATGTGAAGCCACAAAATCTATTGATAAGCGATTGTGGCGAATTAAAATTAGCAGATTTTGGTTTAGCACGAGCGAAAAGTGTTCCAAGTCATACGTATTCGCATGAAGTGGTTACGTTATGGTACCGTCCACCAGGTATGTAACTATACTATGACTTTGACTTTTACTAAATAAATGCATATTATGTGTATTTGTTTACTGATTAGCAAAGTACAAAACAATTGATACAATAGATGTGTTGGTAACATTTTGTTAACATGTTGCCATATCAGCTTTTTAGTTAATTAGTTCTGTTATCCTCATAAGCTTGACTCTTATTCAAATCTGTAATTTAAATTAATTTCATATCTCTATTTACTGTTGTGATATGTTTGTTTTAGCCAAGTATACTATATATATAGGGTATAATAAAATACATACAAGCACACAATGCATTTAAAGTAATTGTAGTGTACTGCCAAAGATAAAGCCACTTTGTGACTAACAATTTTGTTGCTGTTGCTTTTGTTTTGGTTTCTGTTTACCAGAAATTTAATAAATAAACAAGCTTATTTCAAAAGTTGGTATAACTAACCACAACCACAATTTCAAGCTCAGCAGGATTGTTGGATTGTAGGAATGTGAATGAATGTATTGAAGTGTATTCATGCATTCCTGGAACAATAAACTGAAAATTATCGCTTGTACGCATAGTTAAAGTCAGCCAGCCATCCTGGCTGGACTGGGCTTACCTGCAACTGCAGTCTATGAGTGCCATTGCGTATGGCAGGCAAGTTTTTAATTAAAAACAAACATTTTTTCTGTTTTTTTTTTTTGCTGATTTTATTGTATTCATACTTTAACATTGTTTAAGGCGAAATATAAAAATAAAGGATTTATATTTTAACAGAAACAGAAAAATGTCTCGATCTTTTATGAAATCGGAATTATTTGTCATCCGCCACACCAAATTATTTGTTAAATATCTTTTAACAAAATAAGACAAAAAAAACATTTCTTCAACAACTTTTTAGGTTTTCTTTCATTCGGTACTTTTGTGCTTCGCATGCATAATTAATTTTAATTTTTTAGTCAAATATTATAAAAGTTTTGAAAACTCCTTTCATTAAATTTTCTGCCTTGCAGTGCCTTTCGGTTGCTGTGCCGAAATTCAAATATCTCAGAACTTGGATAATTATTTTCTTCCTCTTATTTTGTTTAGCTAACAGAGCATGCCTAATTGAATTACAAGTAGGATAGCAGAGATATATTTCAAATACACAAATTTACCAAATAAATACGTCCTTAATCCTTTCATGCTTACAAAAATATTAACTTTGGTTTCTGTTTTCTGAAGAAAGTAGCAGCAGGCATTTCTCTTTAATTTTTTGTTGTTGTTTTTTTTTTGGTGCATTAATTATGAATCTTATTTATATTATTATTTTTCCTTTTTTGGCACAAATGTATTAGATATTTCGTAATATATGCTTTGTGGGATTAATGTATTTGTAAGGATATGTTTATATTTATGTTGTTGACATCAAATTTTCATTAGCAATAATTGTTTAAAAAAGGTTTCACACCAGAATTAAACTGTAAACCGAAAAACGAAAAAAAAAATATATAATTTGGCCGAAATTAAAACCGAAACTGAACCGAAAAAATATATTGGCTTACTTCAATTTAGCACCTTATAGCTAGCTATCGGATAATATAGGCACATTTCCTTTCAAATTTTAAAATATATTGATAACATTTCTTTTTATCCAAAGATATGAATATTTGCATTTAAAGATATGAATATTACATATATATTACATATAGTAAATATATATTTAAATAGCTTAAAAAGTTGATCGGAAATAGTTTTTAATTACTACCGAAAAAGTTCCATCTGTTATTGAATAAATTCTTTAAGTAAATTTTTTAGTAAAAATGAATTAAATAATTTTGTAAATGATGTAAATGATCATTGTTGAACCGAAAACCCTAACAGATATCGAAATTTTTTGCCGATTTTAAAGCGATAATATTGAATTATAATAAAAATAAGAACGAAAGAATTCCAAATTTTAAGCACTGTTTCTAACTTTACATACGTTTATAAAGAGTTTTATTTAAAAAAATTTAATTTTTGCGTAGTCGGATATTGATTTCTATTGTGTTGACCATTTTTAGTACTGCTAGCTAGCACTTTTGCTCTTTATTACTCTTGTTATGCCAGTTTTTGGTATTGGAGGTCCACAATACCTGCCGTGAAGACTTAACACCACAGTGGGCTTCACACACGCATCGGTGTATTGCGCCAATGAACGCTTCATTGGAACTTCAAGGAATTCCGCCGGTTTGGGCATAACTTTCCCCTTGGTAAAGAGCGAAACCTATCTAATACCTCTACTGTTCTTTGGATCACAGCAACCGCTTGGTAACCCGCGTAATCCACACCCTTTAAGGAGCCAACCTCAATGATCAGAACTGTCGAAGCTGTTAGCCCTGACCTCCGTGGTATCAAAATTTTACCTCCAATTGGGTGTTATAAATGAAATTCACTTACTACCAGTGTTACTCCAAATAGCATCGGGATGGTGCCTACAATGAATTGAACGGTCAACAACTAAACACGGACTGTTTTTGATATTGTCACCAATTACTCAGTTTTTTTTCGCATTTTCTGTTTCGAGAAATTGGTCTTGTTTATTTTGTCCCCTATCAGTTTTACTCTTTTTGTTTTGTTTTGTTGTTTAACCGATATTTTATTATTTATTGGTTGTCAATTGATTTTGTTTGTCTTGTCCATTTTTGGTGGTGCTAGCTAGCACTTTACTCGTTTTTGCTGTTATTGTCCCTTTTTTATGCTGTTTTGAGATATTGGTCTTGCTTATCTTGTTTTATCTTGCGTTTCCTCTTATTGATACATATTTATCTGACTTTAGTGCTGTCTTCATTCAATATTATTTTTATTCCTGCCGTTACTATTGTATAATATGTGTATAAACAAGTTAGCTATACCTGAGCATAGAATGCGTGCAAGGCTGTAGTGAAGAGTTTTACTCCAAAATTGATATGAATTTAATTTAATAACGCAACTCTTATACATATGAGTGTACATAACATAATTACTTTAATATATTAGATTGAGAATTTTTCCACCAAGAATATACAAAATATATAAAACTTGCTTCTATCAATTTTATTTTTTAATTTAAATTAATATAACTTATTTTCTAATGATTTCAATAAACATAGCTTAAATAATTTTTATATATTTCAATTTAATTTTTAATTATATTTTTTTCTTATTTCACCTATCAATTTTTCAATCCATTAATCCCATTCAATTTTTTTACTTATTACCTTTGATCCTTTTAACTTTGACCAACGCTTAGAAATTAAAAATTATTGAACTCTTCATAATGAATTACAGCAAAAACCTTCATAAGCAATCTTTACAAAACTATTTTCCCATTTTTTATAATTTTTTTTCTTATTTTTCTTACAAAAAAATTAGTCTATCTTTCATGTACTTTTTGTTACAATTTACTTCCGCTTCCGTTGTTTTCGGAAGCATGGTGTTTCCTTACATTTTCCCACTCTGGTTCTACGGTGTGAGAAATCTCAAAGGTTTTTAGTTTCATTCACTTCGCATTGCTTTCCACAGGATCTATCGATTTGTTATTAGAAGAGAGTAATGAATTTTAGGATTTATTTTTCTGATGTGTTTGCTTTATACACACACAAACGGTAAGAAAAAAAATTAAATATCGTAGAAACTGAAAAGCAGGAGTAAAGGATATATAAAATTATTTTAATATCTTAAATAAATATTTTACTATTGTCTAGAAGTGTGTATAATAAATACATTATTATACACACATACGTTCCTAGATTAGGTTCTATACATAACAACGAACAAATCATATAACAAATAATGCCTCTACAAACAGAATCGTATGGAAATTTAACAATTAAAAAATATAATTAATTATTAAATTATTCTACAGTTGTTTTATGATTTCGTTCTAATATAAACACAGCAA